ACTACTACTTCTTCTTACAATAACTTCTTACAAGTACTACTACTACCTAGTTTTTTGGGGGGCGGAGGTTCCTCTCCACTAAATAACCTAAGAATGCCATGTTCCTCCAGCAAAAAATGGTGCCTCTGAAGTTGTTGACATCGCTCAACCTAAGAGCCATAGGCCTGCCACCTAAATCCACCACTATCTAGGACAAGAATGCAGAGCTTGTGGCCCTCCAGATGTTCCTGGACTCCAGCTCCAACCATTCATGACAATCAGGCCTGCTTGTTGGAGTTGATGAGAGCTGGAGTTCAGCAACATCTTGAGGGTCACAGGTTTCACATCCCAATCAATAATGCAGAAGTTGTGCTTTTTTCTTTTTTTGGTAAATTGTCCCTGCTTATGGCAATTCCTCTCAAGGGGAACTCAACTTGACCCTTTCCTCCTCTCCTTTTGAAGACTGGTTAGGAAGCTGCCTTTTAGTAAGTCAGACACATTGGTCCATCTGAATACTGACTACATTGACTGGCAATGGCTCTCCAGGGTTTCAAGCAGGGAGTCACTCCCAGCCCTATCTACAGATGCCATTGGGGACTGAACAGGGGACATTTGGTGTGCAAGGCAGATGTTCTACCATGGCAAATATGACCACTTCTGCAACCTCATCCGGACCTCTTTTGGCTACTTTGGAACAGGCCCTGTAGCTGATCTTCCTTACCCCAATCCAACAAAATTAAACTTTTACAAATGGGAATAAAATGCATATTTCTATTTTTGCAGCATCTTTTGGAGACAGGCCAATGGCACATACCAGACTGGCACATCACTACTAGTGATTTCCTATCTTGAACCAATCCCCTTATGTCACCTATTAAAAAAACACAACTCTTTAATTGGCCTTACATAAGCAATCCACCTTTATAGATTAGCTAAAACAAGTTGTGTTCGCAGAGAATGCTTTTTTGAACATTAATCCTTTTAGTGTGCTCAAATGTGAGCCAAACACATTCTTGTATAATTTAGGTTTTGGACAAGCTGTTTGTGTAACTTGCATCCAGAAACTCCTTTTCAAAATATAAATGGTTTTATTAGATGTGTTCTTAAATTATTTTGCTTCAATGACAGTAAGCTATGTTTAATCAGAGGGTTGTTATGATATTAAACTCTTTTGTATTCTTTACTGTAATGCTTGATTAAGTTCAATTAAGTAAAAGAAATGAATTTGCTAAGTGCCTGAAGACCAATCCTTGAGCACTAATTTTTCCGTCTGCTAATATGCCAGGTGGCTAGTGTTTCCCCTCAATGTGGTGGTTGTTACAGAGGGAACTAAGGTGAAAAACTTCACTGCAAAATTCGGTGTCTGCTACACAGAGATTTCCCTCTGAACGGAACAAAATTGTCACAAATGATGACCAATGTAATACTGAGTCTTTAGATCATAGTTCTGTTTTTAAGAATGTATTGAAACCCTCTCAGCAGGAGAATTTGTGTTGTAAATGCTTATATTAAAAGGGAAATGTACAAGGCCCAGAAATGGCTTAGAATATTATTGACAATTCGTCCTCCCCATCCATAACAAACATGGAGTTGTATTCAACATTACGTTTCCTAAGAGTAAACCCGTTGAAAAGCATTGACTTGACTTCAGATGGCAGATTGGGAAAGGTTATGGAAAACAGACTTGAAATTTATGGCTTGTTGTACACGGAAAGAAAACTATATGAAAATGATGTACCAGTGGTATTTGACTCTAGTAAGCTGTGGTCTAAACCACTGAGCCTAGGGCTTGCCGATCGAGAGGTCAGCGGTTCGAATCCCTGCGACGGGATGAGCGCCCGTTGCTTCGTCCCAGCTCCTGCCAACCTAGCAGTTCGAAAGCACTTCAAAGTGCAAGTAGATAAATAGGTACTGCTCCGGTGGGAAGGTAAACAGTGTTTCCCTGCACTGCTCTGGTTTCGCCAGAAGTGGCTTAGTCATGCTGGTGACATGACCCGGAAAAACTGTCTGTAGACAAATGCTGGCTCCCTCGGCCAGTAAACAAGATGAGCGCTGGAACCCCAGAGTCGTTCATGACTGGACTTAACTGTCAGGGGCCCTTTACCTTTACCTTTAAGTTAGCAAAAATGTATAGGACAAGTACAAATATCTGCTGAAAATGTAAAGAAAAAGAAGGTACCTTTTATCATATGTCGTGGACTTGTACTGTAAGGTAATAAAAGCTTTCTGGGAGATAATATATAATGAAATGAAAAAAAATGTTAAAATAACCTTTGTTAAAAAAAACCAGAAGCTTTTCTACTAGGAATTATAGGCACTAACATTCCAAAGGAGCAGAAAGGACTGTTTATGTATGGAACAGCCGCCCAGAGGTTATTAGCATCTTGTGGTTTAAATGGACAATACAGATTGATATAAAAGATAGAGTATGGAAGTATATGCAGTTGTAAATGTTTAAAATGGGAACCCATGGGGGGGGGGAGTCGTGAGATTTGGAGGACTCTCTGTGTATGGACTTATATTTGGATTTTTATAGCTTTGTATTTGAAAAATCAAATAAAAATGATTTCTTTTTTAAAAAAGCATTGACTTGACTAATGTTGGTCCATTAATGTCAATGAGTCTGCTATGAGTAGAACATAGTTTGATACCACTCATGGTTTTTGCTCCAGACACACTCAAGTGATAATTATATCACACACATACCAGAGGGCACTTGGTTTTCTGAATGTGAGAGTTAGGGAGAATGGAACTGAACTTCTCATGTGATTGAACATCATAATTGTGAGTTAGGAGGTCTAATGACATGAAGTGGTGGGAAGATGGCCTCTGGTCTGAGAAACCAATTTGTCTGTGCATATCGCCAAAAGCCAGAAGCCTCTGGGTGCTGGTAACAGCCTCTCTAGCCAACAATTCCCATTGACTTTCTTTTCTCGCAGACCTAAATCACAGACTCAGTCATCCCACACGGGTGTACCCCAGTGTGCTTATTTGAAGATTAATCCTCTAACAACCTTCTGATGAAGTCTGTCATTAGCTGAAGGTAGCCTTACAAATCCACAGTCTGAGGACATCTTCCAAATGAGGGGTATGAACTGAGTCAAAAAACCCACGTGTCGGATGGCTCTTATTTGCCGTTCTATAGTGGTGCCTCACTTCCTATGAGAAGGGTTCGAGGAGCTGTATAAAAGACACCTGGCTCTCCAGAGGTCTCCATTCACTTCATTGGATTCAATCTTCCTTCCTCCTTCCATCACTTTGACAAGGTAAGGTCGTGTTCCAGTAGAGTTAGCTGGAACAACAGCGGCAAAATTGTGGGATAGCTTTTGGGCTCTGTTTCCAACTGGATTCTTGTTCTAATAATTGAGTGGGTCACTGTACTTGAGAAGGCTGTCCAGCTTTTCCATTTTAAAACAGAAAACGTTTGATGCCTTTTATATGCATATTCTAGAGCTAAACAATTGTTTCTCTACTAAGTTTTTTTCACTTCAGTATTTTGGTGCATGGGTATATTTGAAGTCTTCCAAAACAATTTCACTGGATTTTTTGAGGGTGGGTTGGGATATTTCCAGTAGCCTCTTTCAGCATATATATATTTTTAATTTTCTGTACAATGTACCAGAAGCAGCATCCTTCTTGGTGGTTGTGCGGGAAAATATTGATGATCCTTTGTGGACATCCCCAGGCTTTCAGAAGAGCTAAGGTCTTGGGCTAGTGCTTCAACTAAACAGTATTTTCACTGAACTAAGTTTGGGCTATGCTTCGACTAAAGTTTTGCAATGCATGTCTTAAGTTATTTTGCAGAGTAGCTAAAGTCTTGCAAAGAGCTGTGCTCTGAGTAACAGGCATAACAAAAATAATAACTTCATTATTTATACCCCACCCATCTGGCTGGGTTCTCTAGACATTCTGGGCACCTTACAGAATATCATAAATAATAGTAAAGCATCAAACATTGCTACAGGTGTCGCATAATGCCCATTCCACATTTGTAAGAACTTAATCCTTTCGTGTGGCAGCTGCTACACATTGGAGCTCCCTGCCTACTGATATCAGGCGGACACCCTCATTGTACTCTTTGCAACGTCTGCTAAAAACGTTTTTTGTTTAGACAAGCCTACCCTAGTTAGACAGTTGGTGCGAGTTTTAATCTGTTGTTATTCTATTGCTATTTTAACTTTTGGAAAGCCTTATTACTGCCATTCTTCCTAATGATAATTTCATTGTTTTATCTTTTTTTGCAAACTGCTTTGAGGGGTGTGTGTGTGTATTTTAACAATCTAGCCATGTATGCATTTTGTAAAATGCATAGATATATAAGCAACCGCCACCAAACATTTAGAACTCACTTGATGCATTATATTAATGAACATGGAGTGAAAGTTATATTTGATAAGCTACCAAATCCTGTTCTTCATAGATTCTATCTTCTGAGTTGCCAATATAGGAAAATATTGGTGAGAAACCTTAGGCAGAACTTTATTTATATGGAGTATATGGACACGGCACTCATTCAGACAAGCGATTTGGCTTTTACCAATGTCAGACACAAATAAAGCAGTATCAGATACTTTAGAGTGGTCCCACAAGATGTTTCTCTCTTTCCTATAGCTTTATCTCTACTCTGAAAAAATGAGCTGTTCTAACTGCTGTGGCCAAAGTAGCTCCTCCTCCTGCGGCTGTTCCCAGGGCTGCTGCACCCCCTGTTGCTGCAACCAGGGCTCTTGCAGCCAGGGCTGCGGCTGCTCCTGCTGCAACCAGTCTTGCTGTTCCAGGGGCTGCTGCTGCCCCTGCCAGTGCCAGCAGTGCTGCTGTCCCTCCTGCTGCTGCCCCAAGTGCTGCTCCTCTTGCTGTAACCAGTGTGGCTGTTCCAACTGTGGCTGCTCCTCCTGCGGCAGCCAGTGTGGTGGCTCCTCCTGCTGCTGCCAGAAGCCTTGCTGCTGTTCCAAGTGTGGCTGTAGCCCCTGCTGCTGCCAGAAGCCTTGCTGCTGTTCCAAGTGTGGCTGTTCCCCTTGCTGCTGTCAAAAGCCTTCCTGCTGTTCCAAGTGTGGCTGTTCCCCTTGCTGCTGCCAGAAACCTTGCTGCTGTTCCAAGTGTGGCTGTAGCCCCTGTTGCTGCCAGAAGCCTTCCTGTTGTTCCAAGTGTGGCTGTTCCCCCTGTTGCTGCCAGAAGCCTTCCTGTTGTTCCAAGTGTGGCTGTTCCCCCTGTTGCTGCCAGAAGCCTTCCTGCTGTTCCAAGTGTGGCTGTAGCCCCTGCTGCTGCCAGAAGCCTTCCTGCTGTTCCAAGTGTGGCTGTTCCCCTTGCTGCTGCCAGAAACCTTCCTGCTGTTCCAAGTGTGGCTGTTCCCCCTGTTGCTGCCAGAAGCCTTCCTGCTGTTCCAAGTGCGGCTGTAGCCCCTGTTGCTGCCAGAAGCCTTCTTGCTGTTCCAAGTGCGGCTGTTCCCCCTGTTGCTGCCAGAAGCCTTGCTGCTGTTCCAAGTGTGGCTGTAGCCCCTGTTGCTGCCAGAAACCTTCCTGCTGTTCCAAGTGTGGCTGTTCCCCCTGTTGCTGCCAGAAGCCTTCCTGCTGTTCCAAGTGTGGCTGTTCCCCCTGCTGCTGCCAGAAGCCTTCCTGCTGTTCCAAGTGCGGCTGTAGCCCCTGCTGCTGCCAGAAGCCTTCTTGCTGTTCCAAGTGCGGCTGTAGCCCCTGCTGCTGCCAGAAGCCTTCTTGCTGTTCCAAGTGTGGCTGTTCCCCTTGCTGCTGCCCCAAGTCCTCCTGCTGTTCCAAGTGTGGCTGTTCCCCCTGCTGCTGTTCCAAGAGCAGCTGCTCCGTACCCTGTTGCCAGCAGGTTTGCTGCAAGCCCTGCTGCCCCCCCTGCTGCAGCACCAAATCTCCCTGCTGTTCCAAGTGTGGCTGCTCTCCCTGCTGTTGCTCAAAAGGCTCTTCTCAGCAATCAAAGTCCTGCTAAAAGCTGAAGAGCAGATCAGTTTCCTCCATGCAAGCTGCCTGCCAATCAACTCCATGTGACCTCGCCAGCCCTACCAAAGCTGATTCCAAGTCCTCTTGATTGACTGCTGGCTTTCGCAGCAACTCCTTCAATGCTTCATGATTTGTACCTCATTCGATCATTAACATCAAAACTTTGGTTTAAAAATATCTAATAGTTTGTATTTGTCCTTGAGGAGTAACTCTTTTAAAGCTGAAATGATCCTTGCACAGCCTCTTGGGTGTGCAGGATGGTTTTTGCTTCAGATAATTGGCCAGTCTTCTGTTGTCCCTTTCCTTGATTGTCAACACAGGAGTCAATAAAATATTGAAATCAACGATGTTACTAAAGTCTTGGTGTGCTTTTTCTCCATTCATCTTTGAACACTCAATTATCAACATTCTCCTATGTTCTATGGAAGCAGTGGGGAGCCCTTTTCAGCTCAAGGGTCATATTGCCTTTGGGGTTCCCTTCCGGGGGCCGCATGCTGGTGGGGGGCAGTGCCAGAGGCCAATGGAGGTGGTGCAAGAAAGGTGAATGTGTGCCATAGACTATATTCTATGCACATTCACACACACCCTCTATATTCTCCACCTGGTGAATTAAGAGGCATGATCAGAGTTCAGAGGCATGGCAGAGCTGGGGGAGGGGGGACTGTGTGCCAAACAAGGCCAGGGTTGAGGACATTAGTTTAATGGCAAATGCATCAGTGCACAGTTGCTTCTTGATAGCCACAGCCACATAGTGAATTGGGGTGAGTCTTCAGGGCTGCATAGAGAGGGCCACATTCAACCCCTGAGATTCCCATTCCCTCTTCTACAAAATAAGTGCTTGGAGAATTTCACTTCACTTAGAAAAGAGGAGGAGGAGGAAAGAGAGAGAAAGAGGGCAGGCACTTTTATATTCAACCTCACACACTGCAAACAAGCAACCACCAACAGATTATTCCCCAAGATCATGTGGCCATTAACAGGGGAGAGAATTGTAGTCCCATCCATCATTTAGCCCAAGGTCAGTGTGTGTGTGTGTGATGGAGAACAATCTGAAGTATTTTGCCTAAAGACCTTCTCATTCCACCAAAAAGTAGGAAACAATTTCTGCAGAAAATAAGCCCTTTGCACCAAAAATAATTGCTGGACAGTTGAAAGCCACACACATTTGTCTTCTTTTTCTTCAAGACACTACTACTAATCGCAATGGCTTTGCTCAGCCTCCACAGCTGGAAACAGCTGGAAGCCACAGGAGGGGAGAGGGCTCTTGTGGTCAGGTCTTGTTTTTGGGCTTCCCACTTGTATCTGGTTGGCCACTGTGAGAACAGGATGCTGGGCTGGATGAATCATTGGCCTCATCCAGAAGCCAAGCTCTCCTTATGTTCTTATGATTGTGTCTTAGAGGAATCATCAAATGCCAAGGTTTTGTTTTACAAAGGCACTAAACCTAGATTCCGGGCATCGCTGACAGAGACACTCACCTTCAAACCATTACTGCTATTGTTGATCCTGCCCTGCCGGTGGAGTTTTCTGCCCTCTGGCTCCCGACACTCCTAATGTCTATTTCTGTAAACCACCGGGTCCTTCAAGTTTCCTGGGAATGGCCTTAGGATGGGAGGCTACTTGATGAGAGACCTGCCGTAATGGCAGTGATTAGGGAGATTCCATGGGATTCCATGGGATTCCTCATCCACAGTCATATTTGGAAAAAGGGTGTAGCTCTGTGGCAGATCACCTGCTTTTCATGCAGTAGGTCCAAGTTTCAGTCCCTGGCAACTCCGATTAAAGAGTCTAATGTCATGTCACGTTGCCGGCACTGGGATAGACCTAATTCTAAGACTCTGGAGAGCTTCTCCCAAACAGTATGGGCACTACTGAATTAAATGGGCCAATGTGAGACAAGAACATAAGAAAAGAAAGCTGAATCAGGCCAATGGCATTCTGTTCTCACAGTGGCCAACCAGATACCTAGGAGAATTACACCTGTGGTTTCCAGCACGTGGTATTCAGAAGAATTGCTGCCTCTAACTGTGGAAGCAGAACACACCCATCATGGTTGTTGTTGTTGTTGTTTAGTCGTTTAGCCGTGTCCAACTCTTCGTGACCCCATGGACCAGAGCATGCCAGGCACTCCTGTCTTCCATTGCCTCCCGCAGTTTGGTCAAACTCATGCTGGTAGCTTCGACAACACTATCCAACCATCTCGTCCTCTGTCGTCCCCTTCTCCTTGTGCCCTCCAACTTTCCCAACATCAGGGTCTTTTCCATGGAGTCTTCTCTTCTCATGAGGTGGCCAAAGTATTGGAGCCTCAGCTTCACAATCTGTCCTTCCGATGAGCACTCAGGGCTGATTTCCTTAAGAATGGAGAAGTTTGATCTTCTTGCAGTCCATGGGACTCTCAAGAGTCTCCTCCAGCACCATAATTCAAAATTCTTCATGGATCACTGCCTTGCCATGGCGAAGGGGCTTGAATAACTCAGAGAAGCTATGAACTATGCCGAGCAGGGTACCCAAGATGAACAGGTCATAGTGGAGAGTTTTGACCAAACATGATCCACCTGGAGGAGGAACCAGCAAGCCACTCCAGTATCCCTGCCAAGAAAACTCCATGGACAAAGACAACACGCCATCATGGTTAGTAGCCATCAATAGCCCTCTCCTCCATGAATTTCTCTAATCTTAAAAAACGCCTGCTTCTTGGGAGAAAAGCGATGACAAACCTAGACAGCATCTTAAAAAGCAGAGACATCACCTTGCTGACAAAGGTCTATATAGTTAAAGCTATGGTTTTCCCAGTAGTGATGTATGGAAGTGAGAGCTGGACTATAAAGAAGGCTGATCGCCAAAGAATTGATGCTTTTGAATTATGGTTGGGCTCCCTCTTTGATATCTGTAATGAGCTCGTGTGTAAGTTGCCGCCTCTCCTGGCTATGTTGCCTTGTTAAACCTTTCTGTCTGGACAGCCCTTCACTTCGTGGCTGCCTCAGTCGCTAGCAGAATCCGTCAGTGGGCGTTTCTTAAATCTTTTCCAACATAAAAGTTGTTTGACGCCAAGTCTCCTACTCTCCCTGCGCGGAAGTCTTCTGCTCAGGGAGGGCGTGGGTAACGGAGGACCCGTGCTCTCCCCGCTGGTGTCCGGTGAAGAGTCCTGGAGCCCTCTCTCCGATTCCCCCATCTGCCCCCCTTTATCCCTGGTGTTGCGCTGATTTGCTTCCCCATCTGCTGAGCTGCCTCTCTCCCTGCTGGGCCCTTCTCCAGCATCATTTGAGAGCCTTCCCTCCTCCTCTAGCTCCGATGTCAGTTCCCTGACACTATCCATCTACCAGCAGGCTGTCCTTCTACCTTCCTCTCCAAACAGGCCTTTGAAGTGCAGATGATGTTAATCACTGGCATGCTGTCAGGGCAAACTATATTTTAATTGGTGGTTCTAGATGTGTTTTTATATATTTTGACTATCGTTTTTAACTAGCTTGCTTTTATGACTTTGTATTTTATAATGATGTTTTAAAATGATGTTGGAAGCTGCCATAGGCGCCAGTGAGAAGGGGCCCAGGTCTAGGCTTGTCATACATCCAGAAAATACGGAAATAATATGTCTAAAATAGCGACGGGGCAGGGGGGTTGAATTTTAACAGGACATTGGGTCAGTCCTCCTTGGCTTCTTCCTCCCTGCCCAGCAGCTCTCAGTGCTGCTCCCCCACATACATGCCCCTCTTCAAGTACACTGGTACCTTGGTTCTCAAACACCTTGGTACTCAAACAACTTGGAACCCAAACACTGCAAACCCAGAAGTATGTGTTCCGGTTTGCAAACTTTTATGGAAGCCAAACATGCTCCATTTTGAGTGTTACGCTTCCGATTTCAGTGGCACACTTCCATTTTGAGTGCTACACTGTCTGTTTTTGCTATTTATTTTGCATTTTTGTTTTTGCGGCTCCTTGTTTTGTTTTTGTGACTGTGTGCAACCCAGTTCAGCTATTGATTGATTGACTGTGTGACTGCAGTGCATTGTTTATTGCTTTCATTTTATGGATCAGTGGTTTTGTTAGATAGTAAAATTCATGTTAAATTGCTGTTTTAGGGGTTGTTTTTAAAAGTCTGGAAAGGATTAATCCATTTTGCATTACTTTCTATGGGAAAGCACTCCTTGGTTTTGGAATGATTTGGTTTTGGAATGGACTTTCGGAATGGATTAAGTTTGAAAACCAAGTTACCACTGTATTCTGAACATGCTGGCATGTCTTCCATCCCACTTCTAGCCCTTCCCTGGGGGGGGGGGGTTGAGGTGTCCCCAGTTTTCCTTCATACAATTTTGGCTCAACAACTTTGGGACTGTTGTTGTTATTTAAAGTTCAACAATTTCAGTGGTTTCCATAGATAGATAGATAGATAGATAGATAGATAGATAGATAGAGTGGTACCTCAGGTTACAGACTCCGCTAACCCAGAAATAGTACCTCGGGTTAAGAACTTTGCTTCAGGATGAGAACAGAAATCATGTGGCAGCAATGGGAGGACCCATTAGCTAAAGTGGTACCTCAGGTTATGAACAGTTTCAGGTTAAAAATGGACCTCCAGAACGAATTAAGTTCTTAACCCGAGGTACCACTGTAGAAAGATGATAGATGATAGATAGATTAGATAGATAGATAGATAGATAGATAGATAGATTATTACGGTCAAAGACCAGCTCGCAGAACACAATAAAAACAGTATTCAGAAAGATAAAATATACAATCAGAGCAGATTGTAGCAATAGCTCATGAATTGAGATATATACATACACCTGTACAATTGAGATATAGACATACACCTGTATGAATTTTGATATATACATACACCTGTACAACTGAGATTTGGGCTATCATAAAAATCGCAAGAAGGGCTACCCTGAGGTGCCCCAAAGGGCGACTTCAGCATTTCCCTAGTAAGTTATTTTATTCTAGAGAATGATATGTGCCTACAAATCTGGGTGCAGAATCTGGCTACCAGCCAGGTCATCTTACGATCTTTGCTTAAGAGGAGAGAATTAAGTTTAGACTTGTCTGAAAGATCGGCGAGCCTCTTCAGCAAAGGGTCAATGGTGTCTCAACGGATCTCAACATAAAAAGGACATCTCAAAAATATACGTTCGAGGCTTCCTATTTCCCCTAATGGGCAGGCGCAAAGTCTCTGTGCGTACGGGACTCTTCTATAGGAGCCTTCCAGAACCGGTAAGGGCAAGGCTGAGCTTCTAGCAAGAGTGAAAGCCCTTCTTGCGTTTCTGGATGCGAGGAAATAGAAATATGTTGCTGGAGCGGCTACGTATCTCCCGTTTTCTGTGATTTTATAATTGGGGACCCTTGTACAGTCCTGTTGTCTCTCTATGTCCATGATTCAGTGGTTTCCTTAAAAAAAAGCTCACTCAACAACTTTGAGGATGTCAGGAATTTATTTTTTTAAAAAATATGGCAAGCCTACCCAGGTCTCTTCAGCAACTCCCAATAAAATATTTGGGAGGGAGGGCCCCCCATGCTGAGAACAATCAGCTGTGGAGGGGACCAATCGCAGAACCAAGCACAGCCCAGCTTTGATGGCTGGCAACTCCTGCTGCTGTGGAGATGCAGGAGGGGGAAGCAGCCCTGGGCCAGTGGCAGCAGCAGCAGGAAGAGGCTGAGTGCCAGAGAGGAGGAGCTGCCAACCATTGAAGCCGCACTGCCACCACATTCGACTCTACCCCCTGGCTCCTCCCTGCACCATGTGTATGTCATGTGTGCATCATTGGGCGCCCCAATCTTCTGCTCAAGTTTGTACCTCTGGAAGCTGCCTTGAACCCTAATGTGGGAGGGAAGGAAGGAAGGAAGGAAGGAAGGAAGGAAGGAGATGACTCAAGCATGGTAGAGATAAGTAGTCCTGGAATTCTAAACTGGATTTAAGACAGCCTAAGGGACGCGGGTGGCACTCTGGGTTAAACCACAGAGCCTAGGCCTTGCCGATCAGAAGGTTGGCAGTTCGAATCCCCATGACGGGGTGAGCTCCCATGGCTCGGTCCCTGCTCCTGCCAACCTAGCAGTTCGAAAGCATGTCAAAGTGCAAGTAGATAAATAGGTACTGCTCTGGCGGGAAGGTAAAAGGCGTTTCCGTATGCTGCTCTGGTTCGCCAAAAGCAGTTTAGTCATGCTGGCCACATGACCCGGAAGCTGTACGCCAGATCCCTCGGCCAATAAAGCAAGATGAGCGCTGCAACCACAGAGTCGGCCACGACTGGACCTAATGGTCAGGGGTCCCTTTACCTTTAAATAGTGATTATTAGACTACATAACTAGGGGCTAAATTTCTGAAAGCGAAGTTTTTTCCTAATTTGTGCATCTGAGAATTGGGAACCCTTTTGGATTTAAAATGTAATTGTGGAAAGGACAGCTTCAGGATCAAGGACACCAACACAGCGGATTGCTGCAGAAAAGTATTTTTTATTGCATTCTACATATACAATAAAAGCAAGTAAAGAGGAGTTTCAGATGTTGGAATCTGGGGATTTGTCCCCTCTACCAAGAAAGCAGTTGAAAACAGTGCGATAGACTCAAAATGCGATCCTCTCAAATTCATCTCCCCCACCTCCTCTCAGAAGCATTCCAGCAGTTAAAGCAATAGGACAACCTGCGGTAAGATATATCAGGTAGCGAGACAGAGTTGGACATTTTGCTCAGCAGTATGTTGGAAGGGAAAACAAAACAGCAGGCCTTGAATTTAGTGTTATTGGCAGCAATGTTGATTCTGCTGGGTGGATGCTCCTTTAGCAATTGCAGGTGAAGTGGGGGGACGGGCACACTCCCCTTAGCAGCATTTCTTGCTTGGGACACAACACTGCTGAATTTGAGCACAGCAGCCATGGGACTTGGGAGAACAGCAGGACTGCATGGATTGCATGGGTGAACAGCAAGAACAGCAGCAGGAACGCATGGACTGGACACCGCTGTATGGCACGCAGCAGTAGACTACTCTGGTTCCTCCATGCCCATGGCAGCCGCAAGAGTCAGAATGGCCACAGCAGCCCATCTTTGTGGAGTGGAAGCAAAGCTGGGGAGAACAGGAAGAAGAATGGGGCATATCAGCAAGCAGCAACAGCATCCACATGAAATCAGAACTGCACTGAGAATACAACTAGGGCTCTCCTGAATGAGACAGAATGTCAGAACATAGGAAGCTGCCTTAAATAGAGCCAGGTCTCCAGTGTCTGAAGCAGGAGTCTTTTCCAGCCCCACGTGGAGATGTTGAGGATCAAACCTAAGACCTTCTGTGTGCAAAGCAGATGCTATGCTACTGAGCTACAGTCCTTGTCCTATGAATAAAGTAAGATGCCTTCTGTATACAGTGGTACCTCGGGTTACAGACACTTCAGGTTACAGACGCTTCAGGTTACAGACTCCCAGAAATAGTACCTCGGGTTAAGAACTTTGCTTCAAGATGAGAACAGAAATCGCACAGCAGCAGCGCGTCGGCAGCGGGAGGCCCCATTAGCTAAAGTGGTGCTTCAGGTTAAGAACAGTTTCAGGTTAAGAACGGACCACCAGAATGAATTAAGTTCTTAACCCGAGATACCACTGTAGTTGTATAGTTACTTATCTCCTTCACATCTGATGGGAGTGCATTCCCACTACCAAGAAGGCCCTCTACCTTGTTCCTTGTACCTTCACTTATTGCACTGAGGGAACTGCCAGAAGGCCCTTGGATCTGGACTTCAGTGTCTGGGCTGAACGATGGGGGTGGAGACGCTCCTTCAGGTATACAAGGCCGAGGCCATTGAGGGCTTTAAAGCTCAGCACCAACACTTTGAATTGTGCTCGGAAATGTACTGGGAGCAAATGTAGATCCTTCAGGACTGGTGTTATATGGTCCTGGTGGCTGCTCCCAGTCTAGCTGCTGCATTCTGAATTAGTTTTAATTTCCGAGTCACCTTCAAAGTTAGCTAGCTCAGTACTAGTAGTGTCTCTCCAGGGTTTCAAGATGGTGATATCTCCCAGATTTACCTGGAGATGCTGGGGACTGAAGGTTTGAAAATCAGGTACACTATCACTGAGAAAGGTCATTTTACTTCAGGAGGCTGCTTGCTATGTAGGGCAAATAGCTGCCTCTAAGGAGATAAGGGAAAACCTTCTGGATAGGGTCATTGAGTCCACTGACTCCAGGGAGGCCTTTTCAAAATGGCCAACCCAATTCTCCAAATGGCAAGCCCAGAAGTCAATGAAATGCAACTTAGGTTTCATAGCTTTCTAAGGTGAGAAGGGGACCTTCAATCTCATCGATTCTGTCCCAAATCCCTCCTCAGGGCAGGATCTGTTCAACCAGGATGTGAGGGCAGTATCCCTGATGATTCTAGTTCAGCCTCTGCTTAAATCTCTCCAGTAAAGAAGATAATAATATAAGAAAATAGCCCTGCTAGATAAGGCCAAGGCCCCATCTGGTCCAGCATTCTGTTCTCACAGCAACCAACTAAATGCCTCTGAGAGAGTCCACTCACCTCGTTCACAGGTGGGAGATGGTGATTCTGATGAATCCAAGTGTATGACTAGAGATCCCTGGGACAAGGGGAGCTTTATATATGCTGTCCAGAACACTTATCTCCTAGGAAGTGTGAGGCTCCACCCAAGCATCGCAAACTCTTCATGAACCATGAGGGCACATGTTACATTGCTGTCACCACACTGTCTTCCGGTTTATGCTTCTTGTCTTAATTCATGTCTATTAAAAAATGATTGTAATCGCTGGCTTAATGACAACCTAATACACACAGGCCAGTCCCAGAAAAGAGTTTATTGGGGTGTGTGGAATTTAATGGCGGGAAATCATGGGTCTTGCCTGGGGCGTTATGGACGCTAGTTCAATCCTACCTAGTCAAATTCCAATAAGTGTCTACCAGTGCCTCAAAGTTTCCATTGCTTGGTGCTTTAGGGTTTATGTGACCTAAGTTTCCAGATCTCTCTGATGCATTTGTCCAGGGTAGCAAATATCAAAATGGTATAACTGTACAATTAAAAATCAAATTAATAAAAAAACCACATTTTTTAAAAAAATCTAAAACATTTGAAAACATTCAGAATATCTAAAACCAAACCAAACCAAACCAAACCAAACCAAACCAAACCAAACCAAACCAAACCAAACCCATACCCTCATTGTTTCACAGTTGTCACCACTGGCACCTGTCAGCCACTCAGTGTTTATGTGTTGACTGCTATATCAGAAAGTTCTGACCAACATCTTGAGTTGAGACACCTGTTTGGCCACTAAAAAGGTAAAGGGCCCCTGACAGTTAAGTCCAGTCACAAACAACTCTGGGGAACAGAATTCTGAATCAAGGCTTCTTTGGTATCTGAGGACCAATGCAGTTTTAATATAGAGTGGAACCTCGGTTTTCAAATGTAATCCATTCCGAAAGACTGTTCAACTTCTGAAATGTTCAAAAACTGAAGCCTACATTTCTGGAAGCATTCAGTACAGAAAACTCAGTACAAGAAGCCACATAGCATAGCCACATTGTAGTTGGATATGTTGTTAATTTTGTTGACGGAAGTAATGGGCTTAGAAACCTACTCTTAGTCCATTGCTTCCTTCACCCAATAACATGAACTAGCAATGTAGTCTCTTTCTATGCTAAGGCCATCCATAACTTTGCCATTATAGCAGTAGAATCTTAAGAGATGGCCAGAGCACTGTCTAATACTGTTTTGTTGGATGAATTTCAGTTGGTGTAGTTTGAGGATGTGGAAAAGGCACTTGGATCAGTTCAAGGAACTACCTGCAACCTGGGCCTTCTTGGCTGATAACATCTAGCAGGGTGGAAACAGCTGTCTGGGCCAGGAAGGTGGGCCATGCCTCTTTACAAGAGGGGTGGTTCCCACCTGTTTGAAAGAGGCAATGATAAGACTGCTCCTTAAGAAACCACCCCTAGATTCTAAGACCCTAAGCAACTACTGGTCACTTGTCAGCCTACCTTTTGGGGGCAAGGTTCTTAAGCGGGTGGTCACTGACCAGATCCAGGCACTCTTGGAGGAGACTGATTTTCTAGATCCATTTCAGTCAGGGTTTTGGGTTGGTTTTCCCATACAAACTACCCTGGGAATAGGGGTAATATACCCCTGTTAACCCCCCTTGACTTCTCAGCAGCTACTGATACCATTGACCATAGTATCCTCCTGGAGAGGCTATCCAAGTTGGAGGTGAGTGGCACCACTTTGCAGTGGTTCCAGTCATACTGGGATGGTTGTCTTCAATAGGTGATGCTTGGGGAAGAGGTATTCAGCACCATGGGGCCTTCATTGGGGGTTCCCTCAAAAGTTCAATTCAGTTGCCCCATGTTGTCTCTCTCATTCATTCATATATATATATATGAATGAACACACACAGACATATGTATATGTATATGTATATGTATATGTATATGTATATGTATGAAGGAACTGGCAAACCACTCCAGTATTTTTCCAAGAAAACTCCATGGACATAAAAAGAAGACGCTTTGAGAAGAAAGTGAGAGTTTCCAAGGCATGCTCTGGTTCATGGGGTCACAGAGAGTCGAACACGACTAAGACAACTAAACGACAACATATATATATATATGTATCCAGAGGTTTTGTAGTGTGTTGTCAGCTGTATGCTGAACTCTGGGAATTATAGTTCTGAAAGGGGAATGAGGGACCTACTAACAACTCTCAGCCACCTTAACAAACTGCAGTTCTTAAGATTATAGTTAACAAACTATAGTTCTGATCCACTTTCATTTCCCCTGTCTTTCAAGTTGTCTCAGATGGTGTCAGGCATCTGCCAGCAGCTCCCATGGCTGGTTGCCCAAGAATGTACAAAGACAAGGAAATGTTTCTTACCACCTGCTTTTTATTCAGTATTTATGGAGAGAGGCTTTGGAACCCAGCCTCTTGGATAATGACATTGTCCCGAGTGAATCTGCTGTTGGGATACTGCCAGGGAGACATAGGCCATCATGCCTCCACGTCGTCGCCCGGTCTCCCGTGGAAACAGTATCAGTCAATTAGCGACACGAGCCTCAGAAATAGCTGTCCACATTCCAGGACTCGTGCACGCCTTTTTCGCAGAGTTTCCACAACGAAAGAGTCACCCAGGAGAGCAAATTTTACAGATTTATTCAACGTTGGTCAGAACAAAGGATAAACATGACTGCCTGCCTTCGTGTCGAGGCAACCGACTGAAAACAAAAGCTATATACAAAACAGAAACTTCCTGTGAGCAGGAAGTACGCAGGCTTGTGACACACAACAGCCTGCTCCCTTTTTAAGGCGGAACGGAAATATCCTAACATCTGCCCCACCCCCGCCACCTCTCCCACTTCCTCATTTGTCATCTCTATGAGTGCTGATGAATGCCCTCTGCCTTTGTGCTATTAGCTCTTCTACTTTCAAGGCTCGCCGGGTTCTGGGAGGGGGGTCTGGAATGCTTTCTAAATACACTGTGTCCATCAGCTGTCATCCTCCTGGTGCTTCCTCCTCCTCCTCCTCTCCCATTATTTCCCAAGTTCCCCCCTCATCTGCCTCTGAGCTGTGACCTCCCTCAAACCCCTGTTGTGATTCTGAACTGTCTTCTTCTTCTCTGGAAGAGTCAGGCTGGGGAGGCAGTTTCCACCTCTGTCCAAGGACCTTGGTTGCAGGGATATTTGTTTTGTGCTTCTATTAAAACCATTGTGTCTTTTTTTTAAATTTTTAATTTCATTTTAATACATCACATAAAAAAGAAATATGAAGATAAACAAATATCCATCACCTCCTAACAACTAAGAAAAAAAATGAAAATAAAAAACAACAACCACCACCACAACAACACCAATACTTTAAATAGAGCTCACGATACATTTAACATAAAGATGACTTTTCCTATATAGCTGACTTCCTGTCTACTCCTTACTTCTATTTCTCGTCCATTATTCACTGCCATATTATAACATGTTTTGGCTTTAATATTATTTATTCTATCCTAGGTTTTTCATCAAACTTAAAACTCCTACTGAAGTTATTCAAATGCTGCTACAGACTTAAACTGTCATTACTATTTTTCAAATAGATTTTTAAAACTTCCCATTTTGTGATAAAGACTTCCATTGATTTATTTTTTATTCTTTCTGATAAATGGTCTAATTCTGCATATTCGGTCATTTTTTGAATCCACTCTGATCTAGAGGGGACTTTATCGCTTTTCCAATTTGTCGCAATGAGTATTTTTGCTGCAGTCATAGCATAGAGAAAAAGTTCTTTTACTTTTTTAGGGATATCCAGATCTGTGATTCCTAATAGAAAAGCTTCTGGTTTCTTGCTGAAAGATGTTTTTAACATTTCTTCCATTGTGTCTTTTGATGGTGTTATCATTATGGTTCATAACCAAACTAGGACTGGGGAGTGTCAAACCTTGTTTCGTACTGTTTGAGCACAGACTACTCTCTGAGACTAATCTTATCTCTCAGACTCATCTACCTCAGATGATTGTTAGGAGAAAGGTGGGAGGCATTCCCGCTACCTTGAGGTCCTTAGAAGAATGGGGAATCATAAATTAAATAAGAAAAAAATAGGGCTCTTCTATATTGGTCCAATCCAGCACTTAGGTGTGGCCCCAACCCCATGTGATCTGTAGCAGATCCAACCTGATTTGACAGCCCTTGATCACTGTAAGTAGGCCTGATACAATCTGGGTGAATCAGGATCACCTCAACTTGCTCTGGCTGAATCCCTGGTTGATCCAAATTGACCACAGACCTAATAAATATACACCAACCACATGTTTATTGATCATATCAATTGCATCCCAGACATGAACCCCGAAAGTCTTGTCATAGAATCATCTTCTGGTGTTATGGCTCTCTGACTCAGCTTTCAGGGGAGAAAGAATTAGTTTTGCCCTGTAGATGATTAAAAACTATGCGTGGAAAATAATAACGATGTCATTCTGACCCTATCCCCAAAGGCAGTTTAGAGGCCTGTTGTTAAAAGAAGATTACTAGGTTGCTGTGACCTCAGGTGATTTGCTGACTAGGTTCAAGATGAATTATGATACCTGGGACCAACCTACCTTGTATTTTCCTGCCACATTCCCCAACCATTCCACGGTAAAGATAGCACAACTTAATCCACACCATTTGTGTGAGTCATAGAAGTTGGGAGGACCAGCTGAACCATCTAGTTCAACCTACTTTCTTAAGGAATGTCTATAAAACACAAGAAGATGCTTTTGGCTGTGTCAAAGCATTGACTGACCTTACCTGGGCATTGTCTACTCAGGTAGCATAGCACCTTTTCAAGGTCTCAGTCAGAGAGGGGATATTCATTTCCTTCTTTCTTTCTGGAAAGAAGCTGAAGTCCCAGCAAAGGAAGAATGGATACAAAAACTTATGGAATATGCAGAAATGGCGAAACTTACCAGAAGCATAAGAAATCAAGATAACAAATTTTTCATATAAGAATGGAAATGGTTTATTGAACATTTACAGATAAATTGTAAACAGATAAAAACATCGGTGGGATTATTGTAATCACCTGCAGTTCCATGAGTATATATTTAAAGGAGATAAACAAATGAGCAAATCAAGTTAATTCGGATAGGTAGAAGATATTAAAAATAAATTTAAGGAACCGTAGAAAGAGGGGGAAGGAAGTCAATTTTTAAAATGTCATAATGGTTGTAAAATTTGTGAAATGTATAAACTTGAAAAGTATAAATATTATTATTATTATAAAGGAGGACATTCATATCGCAACGTAATTAATCATGGCCTGTAGGCATATTAAGCCGCCATCTTGCTGAAACTTAGTGGGTCAATTCCTGGGTGATTGATTACCTGCATGACACAAATATGGTGCCTTTTGGTTTCATGATGAAAGGAAGATGAAATATGAACAGTCCTTTTTATGGGAGGGGGAAATACGGTTGTTATCTATTTACTGTTAGCCCTACTCACAGTAGATCCACAGAAACCAATGGAATTCTTTCACCATGGTCATTCATTTCAAAGGGTTCTACTCTGAGTAGGACATAGCTGGATACAATTTAAATGTCACCAAAAAAGGGGGGGTAAAACAAGTGAGAATTTCTTGAAATCCAGGGAGAAAGTGTCTTGCTTTGTTTTATGCACAATCACAAGACAGAAAGACAAACATCACAAGACTATACACACATCAGAGGCTGGCACCCATGCTCACTCTGCTAGACATCCTTCTTACCTCTTTGCCATTCCCCCACACCTGACCAAACCCACAACCCTTTACACACCACCCACCCCTCATGTTTCTCCCCACAGCTTACCCCAATCACCTCCCACTCCAAGTCCCACTCCTTTTTAAAAGAGGGGCAGGTACTTCACAGAGATGCTTGCTAAACCACTGTGTGAAGGCCCTCCCCTTTAGAAGAAGCTAGGGCATGACAGCAATACACCCCACCCCCAACAATATAACCACCCCTCAATATACTTCACCTATCTTAACAAAACACTTCAATGCTTCTCGGATATTTCATGTAAGAAGGAATTCTTAAGTTTGCTTTGGGTTGAGTTTTGACAGCACCCCTTTTCGCAACAGAAGTGGGCAGAGGCTAGATTGGGATTCGGATAGATTTCTGGGTAATCTGATCACCAAGGATTTATAACTCCCAGCTGTTGAATTGTCTCTTTAAATTTGAAGGCGCATTATTGTTCCACAAGATGTGTATTTCTTTAAAGGCCAGAGCGAATAACGTGACCTAGTTTTACAGCTGTGAAGCAGTATAGCAGGTGCTGTTAAGTTGTGGTAATTAAGTTGTTGGGTATGGTATATAAAGAGCAGCACCTAGCTCCCTCAGTACCCTGGTGGATGGGTCATGCTTATTGATATATTGTAATTAAGTGCAAAAGGAGTTTTTGTTTTTGTTATTAAAACCTAGCAAAAGTTGGTCTCCCCAGCACACCTTCTGCAGCGCAACTAATCTGCAAATAGCCAACATGACCATGTGCCCCCACTCCCTATAAATTATACTGCAGAAAGGGGGGGAGTAGGGGGGAGTAGAAGTAACCACAAGCAAGTTTTCCCCTGGAAGAGCTGTGAACTCAGTTCAACTTTGATACTCAAAATTCCCAGGCTCAGGATTGTGTGTGTGTGTGTGTGTGTGTGTGTGTGTGTGTCCTGACTCAAAGTCTGCCCATTCCCACTGGCAGAGGAAGAGGAGTGCGGGGGCAGCACACCGCCCCTGGCAGCACAATCCTGGTGGGGTGCCATCATAACTGCCCCCCCGCCTGCGTGGGGCATCACGCCCCTGCGGGCAGCGTGCCCCATCCCCGGGATATACGCCAGCCCCACCCCTGCCTGCTCTCTGCCCCCCAGTGCCAGAGCATGAAGCTCCGCCACTGCCCATTCCTGCTTAATATTTGGAGTAGCAAACATGATGTCCTCCAGGAGCTGCTACACT